TTGTCCTGAAATCTATGGCGCCATTTGCATCTGGCCGCCATGACAAACGCAAAAGAAAAAAGCGCCAACTCATTGTTGATGAACACAAAAGTATCTCAGTGGACGAGATGAAAGCAAATATGGCGGACTTCTCGTAAGTTTTCTATTCTTTTGGTGTAAAAATCATAACGGCGTAAAGGGATACGCTGCAAACGCTGGACCTCGCTCCACCAACACGTCGGCTAATGCTTTTGAAGGAGTCTAGCCTAGTGGAGAAACTTTTGCAGCTCCCAGGATGCCCTTCATTGAGAGCTACGCCGTTAGTCATGGTGAGACACATAAACCCTCACCATGTCACTGCTGTTGTGTGTGTGTTTATTTTTCTGCGGCACAATCTTGGCTTTGCATGAACGAAAGCTTTCTCAGCTTAGATGCTTCTGTAAGAATGCGGCTATAGTTGCCCATAAGGCTCTACACCATAGAAATCTGTTTTGTTAGAATCTTGAGGGTATGCTCGCTGCGATCGGGGTATTTCGTTTCTTTGCCACGCGTGAACTAATGCTGAATCGGATTCGGATCGATTAGATTTGGGCAACTGGGCATTTATGGCCGCCTTTGAAATGGTACTTTCTCTACTTCTAAAAATCTCTCTAGCTGTACCAGTCTCATCTGAGGATGCAGTTTCGCGATACAGAGGAATGCGAGATCAAGGATATACACGTCTCTGACGACATTGAGCTCACCTATGAGGAAGTAAGTCCAGCTATGCTGCGGACACTTGGCGCCCGGACACTTCTTTAGACACTCCGTTCGCTGCGAAAAGGCTACTTTTGAGCAGCAATTCTTAAACAGATCTCAAACATTCTTTATATAGGAGCCAATGGATCTTGGCTTTGGGCATAGCTCGCCTTCTGTTGAAGCCATCAGCTCCGAGCAGACTACGTTGATCTTTGAGCAGGTGTGTGTGTTTTGTTCCGCTTCGTGAAGAACTGAAGGCAGTGGACAGGCAAAATGGACTTTAGTCAGATTTTGGTAGGTTAGATAGAAGACCCCAAGTACACCGTAGCCCCACAAACACCCTTCAATCCATGCGCTGAGTTTTGAAAACGCTTTTCAAACTCCACCAACCGCATCCGCTTCCAAGAGTGGGTGTCATTTGTGGAATTTTGAAGGGCAATTTCAGGACACCGCGCTGAATTGGAGTGGGGTGGGGCTACGGTGTACTCTACTATCCAACGCTACCAAAATCTGATTAGGGTCCATTTTGCCTGTCCACTGCCTTTAAAGAGACGCTGGTGGCTGGTGTGGCAGAGTTTTCGTTGAATCACATATAATTCAATTTCATTCAGTAAGTTTTCAGAGACAAGAAGACGGAGAGAAGACGTTTCGTGAGGTGCACAAAGCTGTTTGCCATTTGAAAGGAAGGCAGAATTTGCTAAGTGTGATTGCAGCGAAACTTCAATCAGCGAACCAGTCTCAGGTAATGCAATTATATATTCTTTTAACAG